ATCGTTCGGTCCAAAAGCTGACAACCACCAAAGTTGGTAATTATTAATGAATAAATTACTCGTTATTTAGCCAACATCGAGGCCACAACACATGCAACTTGAGCCACAATCCATGGTTAATGGGCCAACCAATCACTTCGGTTACTGGTAGTGCCACTGGCCACTGCCCAGAAATAATAGAATTGGTACAAAACTTCAGCCCAACTGAATTGGGCTGCTATATAAAATACATGGGCTCTCATTCATAGGCCATCTTCTAGGTGTGGGCATCAGCTGACAACACAAGTGGTTAATGGGCCTAGAAACAAACTTAAAACCCAATATCCAAAGGTCGAGAGAGAAAGGGGGTGCTTCTTGCCTGTTGTATTTAGACTTGGCAGCAATATTAACGGGGCAAAACCATAAATTTGATGGTATGAAGAGATTCACTTTTCAAAAAAAAATATAAAGATAAATAATTTATTTAAATTATAAATTAAAATAAATTATTTATTATTTAATATATGATGTTATCACACATCAATTTTTAATTAAAAATTATCTATTGACGGGGGATACCTACCTAAAATCAACAATTAGTTTTAATTTATTGAAGGGGCAAGTTGGTGGCGTAACTTCAGTACCTGACTGTTTCTTCATGAAGAAATCGTCTCCTCTGCTTTAATCTACGAGACAAATGGGATGGGGATGGGTACCAAATTCCAAATACTCAGAGGATTATATTCCCACTAATTAAAACCGACCATGTATGTCAGGCCACAGTACTAAAGCAACTGAAAAATCAATAAATTAAAATCCAGATATTGAAAATACTAAGGAAGAAGAAAATTCGAGTGAAGATTTGTTCTGACACGTAACAAAAGGAAGATGACAATTGACAAACATTAAAAAATGTCGTTGGATTTTCCTTTTTCTTCATTTTTATTAGATGACAGACAAAATAAACCAAAAGTCAAAATAAAATTAAAACCGACAAAAGATTGCTTATGATTTTGATCCATCCCAAAAGTTAGTGAATGCCAAACAAACTACTTTGGTTAGATTTTTGTTATATCCAATAATCACATTAGATTATGATTAATTTGAAATTGAATCGCGTTAAATATCATTTTGGGAGAAACTTTCCTAATGCATGTTCTTCATTTATAAGACACAAACTCAAAATTTTAGTTAAGAAAAACCGAACTCCTTTTACTTGAATCATCAGGTAATTGATGTTTTTTTTGTTTTTAATTAGATATGTATGCAGTTAAATGCATATCTTTCTTGCGGAGACCGGGTGAAGATAACAAGCGAGCGGAGCCTTTAAGCCTGCGACTTAGGGGAGAGGGACCATGGAATCATGGTGTTTGTAGCTTGAGACAAAGGAAAAGTCCACATACTGAATGTAAGAGGAGATCAACAAACTAATAAAATACTAGTACAAATTGAAGAACTTCCATCCAAGCAAGGAAAAAGAGTTGTGGGATAAGCTGTCTTTATCGGAAAACTTGGGCGAGGAGCTACCCTAGCCTCATCACAAGACTAACATACTCTGCTTCTGCTATATGGGGTTGTTAAGTTGTGTTTAGCAATTGAAATTTTTTTTTCCCTCTTTCTCTTGCTTGCTTTTCTTAAGTTTAAAATTATTATATTATATAATTAGTTTTTTTTTTACTAAAAATCTAATAATTATATTGTATATATCTATATATTTAATAACATATTATAATTATAAATTTATAATTTTATGTAACATTGTTGTTAACTAAGAAAATCTCATATCAAATATATAATAAAAAAGTTTATGAATTAAATATAAAGAGAATTACTTTACCTATTGTTAATTAGTTTTAAGTTATATACAAGTTTTGGATTAAAACTTATATTTACAATTTTCACATGGTATGTGTCTCTTCTTGAACGATGGTGCAAGCCTCAACAAAGACCTTGAGTCTCGAAAGAGTATATGTAATTAACACTCTTATGTTGGATGTTTAGGCAAATCCTACATCTACAAAGCACAAGAGAGATGTTGGAGGATACTGGGTATATCCCAATTGACACATTTTAAAATCATGAGGCTTGAGAATCAAAAGTGGATATTATTAATAATGGGTAGCGTTGCTATAGATGGTATCCAAGTCTAGACTCTATTCTTAAAAAGCCAATTGTTAGCTTACTTAAGAGGAGCTAAAGTTAATATTAAGTTTGCATGTGAGAAGGCATATTGAGTGAAAAACTTTCACATTAAGTTTTTACATGATATCAGAGTCCATGCACAATTCATAAGAATTCCATTATTAACTCTTGATAGGATCTAAAATTAATACTGAATTTGCATGTAAAAAGATGTATCATATGAATGTGTATATCAAGTAAAAAAATCTCATATCATATAACAAAAAAGAATATATGATCTACATATATAAATTTTACAATTATAACCATATCATTACTGATAGCTTCTTAGGCTAAAGAAGAAAATGAATTGAAATTCTTTTTCTATAAGCTACTAATGAAGTAGTTAGTATCCAATCAGATTTTCAAGTATAATGATTTGTATTTAGACCTTAATATTTAGATTTAATTGATTGAGAATTCAACTCTCATCAATTATTTAAAAAAATTTTCATCCTTCCGTAATTCTTCATGTTTAGAAAAAAAAAAAAATGAAGTAGTTAGTACTTGGTACAGCAAGTGATACTTACTGATGTGATGAATCACACCATTCTACAAATAAGTTCGAAGCAAGAAAAGTGCTTTTTCAACGATGATGATGATGATGATGTGAAGTGTTTGTTAGAACTTTGAAGAAGAAAGGGACGAATGACCGAAAAAAAAAAAAGAGAGATCAAATTGTTGACTCATCTTTCCAGAGGACCATTCTTTTAAGTCACAAGCCGGCATATGATGGCTTTTTTGTTTTCTCTCCCAACTCCCAAACTTTCTCAATCCACTCCACAGCACCACCACCACCAATAAATATAGAATTTGAATTCGAAGTGGCACTCACTCTCACAAAATGTCATAAGCATTTTGGTCCCTTCTTTATTAAATCTTTTCAATGTTAACAAAGGGCCGTTCCACCGACTAATATGCATGCGTATATGCACTTAAGCAGGCCATATCGATCTCAACAAATAAAAAGCACTCAAATCTTTGCTTATATTCTCTCCTTCGCTGATTTGGTCAGAAGGCATGCTCAATTACGTGTTTCAAAATTCCAAAAGGATTAATCTTGTTAGCATTAGAAATAACTTACTAAAATCCTGAAAGGAAATACATTTAAATTGAATTAGAATTTATTTATATATAAT